CCCCAAAACCCCAAAACCCCAAAACCCCAAAACCCCAAATATTTTCAGGGCGGTTGAAACTATGAATCCCCAATAAGGGAAAGAATTAGTGAATTTTGTCTGTCATTTCATGAATCAACAGAAGTTATCCTATCTCATCTTTATATTCAACCAATAAATCTAAGGAAGGATTATGCTTAACACTTTTACAAAGATTTATCTCTATAATTATCAAAATTACAGGAACAAGTATGGATCAGCTTCCTTAAGACGGGAAGCAGGATTAGAAGGAATTCAGATACTTTTTACAATATACAGGTCAAGTCAAGTTTTATAATAATTATTTGTATGCTTATGATGTTATTCTTGGTCTATTTCAATGATCTTATCAAGCTCTTGTGTGTAGAACTTATCGACATTAATCATATTTATTTGGGGTAAGGGTTCAAAAGAAATTAGTCTAGCCTCAACTGGCTTATTAACCACCTCTTCTCGTGGTGTAGAGTTTTTGATTGGCATCACCGGATTTTCTTTTGAAAAAAGTCCTTTGATCTATAGCAAATTTAGTTTAAATTTTCTCTTCTTAGTACTTACTGGAAGGGAAAAGGAGGGTTTATTGTGAGACACAGCAGGAGGAGTGTCAACAAATAACCTGTTTCCATTTTCTTCTTCTTCATCTTTCTCAAAATTTAACTCGTTCATGAGGAACTTCATTCACTCAGTTTCACACTTGCTATCGTTCTTATGATTGCTTTTAATGGAAAAGCATCGTTTATTTTTACTCTCAGAGCTTTCATTGAGGTTCGAAAAGGCATCTTCGCTATTTTAATCATTATTTTCAAGAGTTTTGAAAGACTTCTCAAACTTGACTTTAGCTATCTCTATCTATATAGATATTAAAAATGCTGATGAGCTCGGTATTACCTTCTGAGAGACTTCCCCGCTCTTGCTAGTTGCTTTCTCAGACTCAGGTTTTGGCTTTGGAACCTCTTTGGGAACTTGAAGTTCTTCTTCGGTCCTTTCTTCAGCAATTTTAGACCTAATTTTAATACTCCCTTGGCTTTGACAGCATCCCATTATTATTTATCATTCTCAATTTTATTATGCCCTATAGGGGTTTTGGGGTTTTGGGGTTTTGGGGTTTTGGGGTTTTGGGGTTTTGGGGTTTTGGGG